AACTTGCAGCTGGATTTTATTCTTTTTAAACGCAGGACGTTACGGTTCAGGCCCCCGACACAAACACTAACACCAAAGATTTAACGTGCGAGCGCATGACGTCCAACTCGTCTGCTCTGGTGTTTCAGTCTGCTCCACTCAGAGGTCAGCTTCATGCTATTGTAATTATAAACCTGCTCCCTGTTACTCTCGGCCGTGATGATGTGAGTGCACAGACACACAGTACAAACAGAGGACTGGTAGTAAACATGCATCAGCTTCCACAGCTCTGATGGAACAGGAAGTTCAGCGGGTATCTCACAGTCAGTTTCACCCACCGGGACGTCTTTGATCGCTCTGGAGATATTCTGATGTCACAGCATTTTAAATCTGCTCTGATTGGGTTTTCCTGCACTTTGGAGGCCGACGTTTGTTTTTCTGAACTTGTTTCAGGGGGGCGCGGTCGTCACAGGACACCACGCCCACAGACACAGAGATGCTAAAGAATCGGATGCATTTCTGTAGAAAACAGAATATAAATATTTAAAGAGGGTCTCGTCGCCTCTGCTCGGCTGTACTCGCCACCTGGGTCATGATGTTAAAGTTTCCCAACCCTCTCCAGCGCCGCCTCGGCCCCCGAGTGGTTTTCTGAGTCGTGCAGAGCTGAAGTGGGAGCTCCTCGTGCTCCGGTTTGCTGTGCTGAAGCAGAATTACGAGGTTTGTCATGAAAGGATATGAGACTTGAGTGCGTCGCTGCTGCTCACTGAGGAGGAGAAGCTGAGGAACTGGGTGGACGTCTTGTTTCCATAGAACACATACATGCGACCTGCGAGGGTGACCGTCAAAGTCAGGCAGCAATAATAACAAAGCTTCACAGAAAAAACAAAGATAACGAGATTTTAGCCTGAGTCTGGCAGGAGGAGGTTGTGCTTTTTAAACCTCGATTTAACGAGCGGCTGCTCACCGAGGTTCTGCCGGTACTCAGACTTCAGCCCGATCTGTAACAGCTGGTTCTCGTAGATCACGCCGTTGTTCTTACAAACAAACCTGGAAGAAGGAAAACGTGACGACAGTTACACAAAGGAAACGTCTGTGTGAAGAAGAGACATCATCGTGAGGCCGAGCACGGCGGTAAAGCTCGGCCACGCCCACAGGTTTAGCGATCTGTTCATTCACTTCATCTTGTGCAGATCTCAGAGTGGCCACTGGAATGACTCGCATCACTAACAACGAGGAACGACGGCGTACAGAGGTAAACGCGGCATTCGGTGATGTCAGAGGCTAACCTCCTGTCAGGCCGTGCATCCCGCTGCTGCAGAGAGCGGGATGCACGGCACTGCAAAGAAACCTGCGGCAGTTTGTATGTTGAGAGTTTCACACCGTCTGGTTCAAGGTGTGCAAACAGCAGGCGTGACACAGCTTCACACACACAGCCGAGGTCACGTGCAACCTGCCTGCTTCACACAACACTCGCAACACGACACTTTTATGTCACGTTACACGGGCATCCTCGTGGACGACTCTGCAGCGCTGTGAGAGCGGCGTGAGCACCTCCATCGGCACACGGTCACCCTGAGGTCACACGGTAAACCCAAGAGCTCAGTCTCGGTCTCTACAGGCCTCAGTTAGCATGAGAAAGGTCAAAGTTCATGGCTGTTTGCAAAGCTGCAGCAGTGGTCAGCCTTCAGACAGCTGTGCATGAACCAACGCTGCAAACCTGAACGCGCTGCAGCATCGCTGAGACGAGACAGACTCACAGAAACATCAGTGCAGGTCACTGCAGCTGAACCTCACCTGGGGAAGTTCTCCTCCGATACGTCTGTGGCTGCAGGAGGGGCGGAGCTCTCGGAAAACACGTCGATGAGCAGATTGGCTCCTGATGAGGGGGCGGAGTTTAGATTCAGGACATCCGTAAAAGAGTGGGTGGAGCTCTGGAAGACAGATACCAGCAAACAAAGTGAGAACAGGTGGAGGTGTGAACTACACCCTCCTGCCAGGTTGAATCTCTGCTTTCACCAATGAATCGATTCACAGCTGATCGAGCAGCGCGCTCATCAGTGCAGCTACTGTTTACCAAGTCAGGCTGACAGCACCATGTTCCTATCAGAGGAGGAGGGGCGGGGCCTGTCAGGAGGGAGAAGGTCATCCAACAGTGAAGAAGAAGATGGACAGAGTTTGAAGATGAAGGACGAGCTGCTAAAGGCAGCCTGTGCACGCAGACTGCAATAGCGACCTGCTGCAGGCTTTTAAACAGGTATGGGCAGATTTCACAGCAGCCAATCACAGCTCTGCATCCGTGGTTACCTTGTTCGTGGTGTCTGTGTTCTCGCTGTGCTCCGTGCTGCCGTTGACGCTGCGGCGACTATCGTCCATGTCTGGCAGTTTTCCGGGTCCTTTCTTCTTCTTCAGCTTGGCCAGAATGGAGGACTCCCTTTCCGGGAACGGCGGCATTTCCTCCAGGACGGTGGCCTGTGCAGAGAAACAGGAAGTCAGTTAGCATCAGTGCTAGTTCACGGCAGATGTCGCTACGTCGGCGGGTCTTATAGCTGCGGGGGTTAACACACCAGGATGTCGGTGCTGGCGATGCAGCTGAGCCTCAGGTACTCGACGGCTCTCTGCTGAAGCTCCACGTCTGCGTTGCGCAGCTGGCTGTCGGAGCGCAGGACGTCCTGGATGGTGGCTTTCACTTCTGGAAACAAGTTGATGAACTTGATGTACGCCGACAGCAGCAGCGCCCGAGTCGGCACAGAGCACAGGTGGAACTTGGAGTGAAGGAGATTGAACTGGACCAGAGGGCTGAGGAAGAGGAGACAGAGTCGCGGTGAAACCTGCGAGCGGTCCCGTCAGCTTCAGCAGCGACGCGTCAGCTTTACTGACAAATGACACGTTTCCTAAAGTCTGCCGGCACATTTTTCCTATTCTGTCACAAAATCGTCCAGAATGAGAGAAGAGCTCAGAAACTATTTATTATTCTTTATAATAAAAATCTCAAATAACAACGAGACCAGACAAACATCCCCTGGACTGTGATGATCAGCTGTGGGTGTGGTTTGTACCTGGAGCGCGAGTCACCAGCAATCAGGTTACCGAACTCCCCCAGGATGTACCCGCCCACCTTCACCAGGTTCTCGTGGCAGGCGGGGGCTTGCAGCGCCTGCAGGTCAGAGAGGAAGTGACTTCATGAGACGGTAGAAGACACAAACGAACCAGTCACACGGGCCGGAGACACATTCAGGATCACAGCTGCGTTCATGAAGGATTCCTTCATCCAACCGACCAATCAAAGGGCTTTAAGCCCACTCGTTTCCTCCGTGAGGACCTCAGTGTTCAATGATCGAGCCAGTTAAACTCCGTCGGTCGTATTGTGTGTGTCGCACAGCAAAATAAAACCTGATCACATGATCACAGACTGAAGCCACTCTGAACGTGTCTGCTGGGAAAAGAAGCGCGAGTTAAATCTGCGCCGTACCCCGACACGCTGCTCCCTGCAAATATAACTACACGTCACAGCAGTGCAGCCGGCAGCTACTGTGATTGGCCGGGTCGGTCCCCGTGCGACCACATGCCAAATACACCGCGCGTGAGCATGAAGCTGGCAGCGGCGCCGGCTCGACAAAGATTCACCGCAGAAGTCTTAAACAGCGGTGAGCTCTGTAGCGTTCAGGGACAGCAGCGAGGCTCACCTCAAACACGGTCTTGGCGGCGTAACCTTGGACATCGTCTCGGTTTATGACGATCTGGATGACGCGGTACCAGACCTCCTCGCTGACGTAGTCCCCAGCGATGCGGATCAGGTTCAGGATGGTGTCCACGTACCAGGTGTAGTCCACGGCGTACTTCTCTGCCAGGATGGCCACTTTGAGCACCTGAGGAAGAGAAGCCAGAGGCTGAAGACGAGCGCTCACGCCACTTAAAGCGAACGGCGAAACGTGCTGACATCACGACCCACTATCTCCTCTCTGATGGAGTAGTCGGCGGTCTCCAGGTAGCTCAGCATCTCTGCCACGATCTGCTTGGCGTTGCTGCGGTCGCACATGGCGTAGAGCAGATCCACGGCGCGCTGGCGAACACTCACATCTCTCTCTGTCTGCACGGGACACACACCAGGAAGCAAGTGTGAATTTCAAAGTAAAGGTCAGACTTATTGGCAAGACTAGTTTTTAGTGTTCAAAGGTTGAACCGAACCAAACCTTTGAGTTTTGTCCAAGTTGAGGAGGAACGGACGTCCAGCTGAGCGAGACTCACCTTCAGAGCGTTGATCACAGTCTCCATGTGTGTCTTCACGGCCTCGTGGGAAAATTCGGAGCTGGCCAGCGTGCACATGCTCTCCAACGCCAGGTAACGGAGGTTGGTTTCTCTGTGCTGGAGGAACTGGCCCAGCTGGTTACAGGCTCGTACCAACAGGGTGGGCTCGCTGGGAGACAACGGGGGACAAGCGTGAGGCTCAGATACGACACCCGAACACGATGACGTCCGAGGACGACCGGAGCTACGCGTGTCAGGAACGTGGGCCGGGCCCAGGAACCCCTCTCTACACTGCAGCACATCTGCACAGCAGCTGCTCGCTCAGCCCTCTGACATCATCTCATGTTTGTTTGTTTTTAATCTGATTTCATCACGTTGAGCTTTTTGTATATTTTTACTTTGTACATTTAAATTTGAACATTTTAAAATGTTAAATATTTCAGTGTAACTTACTGAGCTCATTATATTCTGTTTTTTAACATTTAACTTAAATTAGTACTTTTAATTTATTACTTACTGACTTTGTGTTTGAGTTAAATTTGTACTCACTGAGCTCTTTGTTCTGGTTTCCATGGCAATGCCTTGCATTTTACACACACACCTGATTCCTGTTACATTTCGCCTCTATCACAGGTGATGGGTCTGTCTCTGCGCCCTCCCTGCGACAGACTGGCGGCCAGCCCAGGTGTTCCCGCCTCTCACCCAATGACAGCTGTGCTAGGCACTGGCCCCGCCCACATGCGAAAGCAAACTGACGGATGTTTTGTTTTCTCCCCCACACTTGGGGATAAACAAAGCGTGTATGACCTGCCTGTCATGGTGGATGATGAGGGCGATGGCTTCAAACAGAACGGCGTTCTTGGCGTTGGAGTGTTGGACCTTCTTGGACTTCGGAGGTTCCTGGGCTTTATTGAGGATGGTCTCTAAACACTCGGTGAGACGACTTCTCAGCGCGGCGTCCTCTGCAAAGAAAACCAGACGCCTCAAGCCCCGTCGCCACGGTTACGCCTCTCAGACCTTTACTTATTCGTGGTGGACTAACGCGTGTGTGCCGTACCTGGAGGAGGGTAGCACTGCAGCAGGCGCAGCAGTTTGACGGACAGCCACGGGGCAGCCACAAAGTAGTACGTGTAGTCCTGCAGGTCGATGGACGCCGACGTCACGATCTAAACAAACAGGAAGGAGATTAACGTCCCCGCTGGTTTATGATTGAGCCGAGCGACGCGAAGAGTCACACGGACACCCACCCTGCTGAGCCGGGCCACCGCCAGTGACACGGAGGTCTTAAAGTCATCCGGATTCTTCTGGGCCAGAGTGGTGATGAGGCTGGTGGCTGCTGTCACCACGCCCTGAAATAAAGGAAGGCAGAGTCAGCGTTTCAGGGCGGGGTTTAAACTACGGCATCACATCGATCAGCTCGTTCTCACGATAAATATAAGTATTTAGCTCGCCACGAGGAGGCGGAGTCTCACCAGGTGCTGATCGTTCAGCAGATGGACGACCCGTGCGGTCCATTCGCCCATGGGCACGAGGTCGGGCGACGTCCTGTTGAGCCGTAACAGACAAAGAGCTGCGCTCTGCTTCACGCTGTCCATCGTGTCCCTGAGAGAAGCAACGGCGACACGAGTTCACCAAACAGGAAGAAAACCAGCAGCGAGCAGCCGAGGACACGCCCACATTACCCATTGGTAATCAGACTACATCAGATTACACAGGCTTAGACCTACAGTCTGCTCAGACTGTTCACACCAGCTCTGTGTTATTTCATTAAGCTGATGCACCACGATCGCTGTTTTCTTGTCGTTCACTCGCGAGCTTGTTCCCAGTAAAAATCTGATCCGTCGCTTCCAGTCTGGCCCAGAAGGAGGTTTGCAATTTTTTTGCTGTTCTTTGATTTGTAACTGATTTCTGTTGCATCACACTGGCCCCACTTCCCTGTCAGAGTATCCCTCCTCCAAGAACTAGTTCCCCGATTAAGTGTCGACTGTGGGCTGAGGCCCAAACAGAACATCAACATGTGTGTTTCAGTCTGAACACGAATCCTCATCTATAACGTCGCTTTTAAGGGTTGTTTCCGGAAACGTTTACCAAAGTGCCGACGGCCCGTAACAGCCGCTCGTTTTACTGGATGGAGGTCGAGTGCTGACTCCAGCTGCGAGTGAGGAGACAGCTGTCTGTAATGACTGGAAGGATGGAGATGTGCGTGTGTGGTTATTCATCCGCCTGCTCATCTGTTTCACGGCCTGTTACCCACACACTGGCCTGTGGATCGTCACTGTGTAATGAGGTCGGCTTTATTAATGTGTAATGAGTGACGGCGCTGCGCTTCAGGCCACAGCAGTCAATCTCAGATAATGTCAGGTTGGATTTGGTGCCTTACAAACCGCTGCTGCAACAATCTACATAATTGACGTCGTATTTCTCACGAGCGCCCACAGCTGACCCTGAACCAGGTTCACGACCAACACAAACAAACTGATATTAAAGGACTTTGAGCCGCTCGGAGCTAAAACGTGTTTAAGAACGAACCTGGCCACTAAGACTCTGGGAATCTCCGAGGCGAACGCCTCCGCCATCTCTCTGCTGCCCACGTTGGCGATGCAGTGCAGGGCCAGGTTCATGAAGGTGGGGTTGCGGCTGGCGAGGTCGTTTTTGATGCCGTTGTTGATGAGGCGGATCAGGTCGCTGTTGGAGTTGACCAGCACTGAGATGAAGAGGTAACCCTGAAAGGAGGAGACACGGCAAAGGTCACGTGACGGGATATTCTTTCTCTCTCTGACTCTGGAAATCCACAAACACACACAGCAGAGCCGGAGCGTCAGCACCACCCACACGGAGCAGCTGGAGGCGTGGCCTCTGTTACCAAAACATCAGCTGATCCCAGCGACTCTCGAATCGGCTTCCCTGACGATCATCATCATTTATCAAACTCATGTTAGTCTCGAGCTTAAAGTATTTTTACTGGATTACTCGTGTAACTGAACAGTCGTTGAGGCTTTGGAGGACGCCGTGCTGTGACAATGATCCGCCTCCACACGCTCACTCATTTCCTTTAAGGAAACAAAAAACTGATCAATGAAATAAAACTGATCAGAAGCTGATTAACGACAGCTACCCCACGTCAGGGTCGCAGAGATAACAATTTACGTTTGCAGTAAATTTACATTCTTCCGTCACACTTTAAGTGGAGTCTGGTGAGGTCCTACACAGTGAGTTTATAGCCTGCAGCTCCGCCTCCAGCGACTCAGCAGGAAGGATGCCCGCCAACAGCTCTGAATCTCAGCACAGACCCTCAGAGACGCTCGGAGAGCTCAAGTCAAAGGCAGCTAGCTCTGTCTGACCCAGAGATACGACCACAGCGAGTGTGGGCTTCTAGAGACGGGACAGGTGGAAAGCTGGAAATACAATCTAGTCTCTCGGAGCTGAAATGATTTGAGCCGATTCACGTCACTCTCATCCAGAACACTGTTGGTAAAGTTGTTATTACACAGTTATTACTGCCTGCTTCATTAGAGGTTAAAAAAACCCAAAAAAAAAACCACCAGGACGCCGCGAAAGGGAAACGAGCGGCACTGCAATAAAAACATTTGGAACAAATGTGTTTATCAACCCAGAAACAGAGACCACAGAGCGGCGTGAGGGGGCGGTCCTGACGCTCTCGCACGTGATAACCCTGAAACATGGCGGCCGAGCAGCTCCGACACTCACGATCTGCTTCTCCGTGTACTTGTTGGAGCTCAGGAGGTTGACGGCCTCCATGTGCCCGAAGTCGATGTCATGGCCCAGAAGGAAGATGAAGAGCAGCTTGCAGACATACTTCTTTTTACTGTAGCCATCCAACGCCTTGTCTCCTGCGCACACACACACACACACACACAAGCACGCACACACACTTTAATGTCTATGTGATAAACAGCAGCATTTTATTCCAAACAGCTGAGGCTCGGAGGGGAAAGCAGGTGGACTTTGTCTGATTCAAATCTAGTCAAATAATCCAAACCCAGTGAGAGTGGGAGGTTCAGGATCGGCAGCAGTGCAACATCAAACACACACAATAATGTGTGTATGTGTTAGTCCCCATAGGGAAATAGTTCCTCTGCATTTAACCCATTCACCCAGTGAAGCAGTGGGCAGCCTACAATGCAGCGCCCGGGGAGCAGTGTGTAGGGACGGTACCTTGCTCAGGGGCACCTCAGGGTAGCCGTTCAGTGGAGTTGAACCCCCGACCTTCCGATCATGGGGCCACCACGCTACCTACTGAGCTATCCCTGCCCCGCAATCTTTATTTTTGCATGACTGGGCTTTTATTCAGTGTTTGGAAACGTCATCATCAAATAAAACTGAAGAAAGATTGTTTTACGCCAGCCTCAGTACTTCATGGATAAGGAGCACAGTTGCAGAGACATGTGGACACAGTGGAAAGGCCTGAATGCCGGGTGGAGAGGGCGGAGAGGAGGCGCTATGTGGACACTCCCTGCCCGCATATCGCCTCCTCTCTGCAGCAGACTAATTATAGGCAGTGAGGAACAGGTGGCAACAGGAGAAACAGCAGCAACCAGAGAGTCAGTGAGGTTTCACAGGACAACACAAAGCAGTCGGGACAGGAAGCAGGAAGCAGGTCAGGTGACTCGGCGAGCTCGTTTCTCCATCACCTACCTTTAAATTTGGAGCGGATGTTTGCCAGCTCCTTGTTTATCCTCTTTATCTCGGCCTCTTTACTTTTACCTGCAGACAGATCAGCGTTACTCAGCATGCACAGAGCTGCGATCACTCATGAATACAACATCCTGCCTTTTTTAAAGGACCCGCCCCCGCTGAGGAACGTGGCGTCCGGGTTTAATCGCACACTACAACATAAGAGCTTCCTGATGAAGCAGTGACATCTCTTTACTTTATTATCTCCAGAAGCAGGAACCTCAGCCCGCCTGTTTTTGAAGCGTAGACCTGATGACGCAGCAGGATCACCCAGAGCTAATCCTCCCCGCTTCCTGCTCCTTTCTCGCTCTGTTGTGACCAAAACCTCCAAATCGAACATCACGCTTTGTTCAGTAAGCCCCGAAACCAGCGGCTGAGACCATAAACCATCATCAGTGTTTACTGAGCTCAGATCAGCTGAGCCGGAGCCTCTTTTTCTCACAGACTTCCATCCAATCAGACTTCTCTCTGCAACCGCAGGAGTCGCCCCCTGCTGGATGGTTTAAGACACTTCTGTGTCAGATTTACCTTTCAGCTAAATCCATCTTGATGTACAGTCTCTGATTGTGACAGTAGGAACATTTTTCATGTGCTTTGTTGTGAAGAACGTGATTTATAACCTGATGAGCGTTCGCCAACATCTCACATTGACCGGATAATAAGAGGTGAAGGGAGCAGAGTGGCTGTGGGAGCACTCACTGACAGCCTGTGCGAACACAGAGGGCCTGAATCAACTGCACTATCAAATACAGAAGGCTTATTTTGAACTGTGAATCACAGTAAGCTGCTGTGGTGGATTCAGAATAAGTCACCCTGAAACGCCAGCATGAACAAACCCAGCAGAGCAGCAGCAGCCGGACGCTGCAGAATAAAATCAGTCAGGACGGTTTGTGTCGGGGCAGCAACAGGAAGCTCTGAGGCCGCGTTCCTGTTTTCTCACCCAGAACACTAACGTGCAGTTCTGCAACACCGTCACCTACAACAGCGGCTTTATTTATACAACACCACCTCACAACAACAGCCATCTCTGGGTTTATACTGTAGGTAAGGACCCAACAATAACACAAACACAATATAAAAGATACTTCCTATCAAAATCTCACAGGGGACCAGAGGAAAAGGCTGTAAGGCACCACGTGGGTGAAAGTCACCTGACTTTAGTGTTTCAGGGTCAAGGTCAGGGGTCAGAGTTGTCACAGAGTGTAAGGATGCTGAAAGAGGCCAAAAGCCACTGGACTGGTCATCGTGCAGGTATCGCAGAGCCGTACCGTCACACAGCAGCTGGTTCAGTTACTGTAGCTGTAACTCGTTCCCACGACCAGCAAACAGAAACACGGGAACTGTCTACCTGCCTCGTCTCACCTTTCCTGTGCACCTGCCCACTAACACGGACACACTCTCATTTCAAGCTTTTATTTAACCCGCTGCTGGTTTTCTCTAACCCCCCTGGAGAGCAGCACCGCCTCCTCTCGCTCTTTCGCGAGTACTCAGATTACCGTTTTGCGTTACTTTTTGCGATTAACGTTAATTCCAGCTAACGCCAGCTGAGGCGGTGGACCGGAGACTTTACACACCGACTTTTACGACCTGCTAAGGCGGCACTGAGCCGCTCATGTTGGCCTGATAAAGCAGCTCACGCAGTTAAAAAGTGACGGTTTGGTTATCTCCCCACGGCGGCCCACGCCCTTTGACACGGTGACGTTAGCAGCTAGCAGCTAGCGATGATTAGCCGGGGAGGCTTGAGCGCTGGGCGGGAGTTTATCCCACTTTAACGGGGTAAATGTGTCCAGAACGAGGGCGGCAGGGGCGGGAAACTGACCCCGGGCTCGAAGTCCCCCACCCGGGCGTGTTCCCTGAGGTCCCCGCGGTACAGAGGCTAGCCGTGCCTAGCTGCGGGGTGAAGGAGACAAACTCACAGTTCCTGATGTCGGAGATGAACACGGCCAGTCCGCGCATCCCGTCCCCTTTAGACACCGCCGGCATCCTCTCCGCTGCTGGGGGGCTTCAGCTGACCCGGACAACGCGCTGCTCGAACTCTGAACTCTGTCTGTGGAACCGCCGCTGCGAGCACCAGGAGCCCCGACATATGACCGAGACAGGAACCAGACGGGCCGCGTCCCCTTCAGCGCGGAAACGCCCTGTTCCAGCCTCCTAAGGCGGGCCGCGTCCCAAACATGTTCGCTTTACCCACTCAACTGAGTGAACGCACCCGGCCCAGTCCTCACCTTTCAGCGGCCCAGAACATCTGGAGCATGAGCACCGAGGACGGGAGAGCTCCCAGATGTTTGGGAGACTGCTGTCTTCACACTCAGTCTTTTTTATTAAAACTTTTATTCATTTTTTCAGTTTACACATTTGATATGTTGTGACTTGCATTCTGTTTTTATGTACTTTTATAAACCCCCCAACTTCTTTGTAATTGACGTTATGACATCAAGACAAACAGCTGGGTTATAAGGCGGAGATTCATCTTTTGATGAATTTCTGGAGGCCCTGTGACAGACTGGCGACCCGTCCTGGACGTACCAGGCCTCCCGCCCTGTGGTAGCTGGGATAGGCCCCAGCGCCCACACAAACCTGAATCGGATAAGTGGAAGAGAAATGATGGATGAATTTCTGAAATTTGATAAGCATATCGATGAATTAATGAGGACACTGTCTAAATAATTGGCTCATTTTTCAAACTGAGAGACTTCCTTCTGTGTGAAGCTCTTCTTCTTCCTGTCTCTATTTGAGCCTCAGTTAAACTGCAGTGATGTCTATGGTGGAACATGTGTCTTAGTTATGTGGAGTAATTACAGACTTTCCAAATGAAAGTGACAAACAGTCCGAGACACGTCATGGTCCAAACGTTTGGAGCTGGCTGGACAAAACCTTTCACACAGCCAGTGTAATTATGGACTCGTGTCTCTGCACTGATACAGGCTCAGTCCTAAAACCGTACACTTCTCAGGCCTTCACAGTTCTCACTAGTTTTCGCTTGAATTACACACTCTGATTGTTTTATTCCGTTATTCCTCAGGTGCTGGTCTGCAGCGTTACTGGGCCTTAGCATCTTTGGAGTAATTTTGGGATATTTTTAGAGTCGGCTTTGCATTTGGATTCATGCTGGAAGTTATATTTGTATTTCATGTGCACTATTTCATTCATGTGAATGAAGATCAGTGCGTAACAAGGTAAAGCAGTAAAAAAAACGAGCCTGCACAGAAACACATACAGCATCAGCAGACAGTGCTGCACAAAGGCCTGGGCTCTCTAATCGCATAAACAGACAGTAGATGGATCACACTCTGAGTCTGACTCTCATTAAGCTTTTCAAAGAAGCAGCATCAGACTCAGATCTGCAGCCCAGAAAATCATGGCTGCAGTTAGCAGCAAACCCGCATCAGTGACGTTCATCTCAGAGGGCTGCTGAGGGTCACGTCCGGCCGTAAATGTGTTTAAATACGCCAGGCCTCATGTGGAGCCTGCTGGAGTCAGGCTGCAGTTTTAGACAAAATTAGAGAAGCAGATAGAGACTTCCTGTCTCTCGCTATAACTACAATTACTCGTTATAGACGGACTACATGGCCAATGTGAGCTACCCCCCGTATGAGGTTATGACCACGTGCAACCGAACATGTGATGAAACCTTTGGTGGAAACTTCTAACTCACAGTGTAACCTTTGTTTTTTTGTGTAAAACAAAGTGCTCTGCCAAAAGCATTCCCTCACCTGTCCAAATCATTTCACTCAGGTGTTTCAAATCAAGCACCTCGGCATGCTGACGGCTTCTACAAACATTTGTGTCGCTCTCAGGAGCTCCAGCATGATGCTGCGATAAGATGCCACCTGTGCAAAACGTCCGCTGGTAAAACTGAAGTTGCTCTTTGTTGGAGAAAAATAAAGAAGAATTTGGTTCAGTTTGAATAACTAAGGCTTCGGTTCCACAGGTGACTCAGACCCGCCCTCTGTTTTCTGACAGAGGTGATGTCCTGAGCGATGACTCCTGATCACGAGATCCAGTTGATAGGTTTTGAAGTCTTATCAATAAAAAGCTGTGACGGCTCGCTTTACAGTCCTTTTGCAATATTATTATCAGTGTCTGCTCACACTGACTGGTCGCGCCGAGTCTTATTATCTGGGTAAAATAAAACACTGATACAGATTTATAGTTTGTTTCCCCTCCTTACACTGTAGTTACACGTGACTATAGGGATCTTGTCTGTATTAGAGTATACGAACCCCTGTAGCTCAGGAGGTAGTTCGACCCCCGCCTGGCCCGCATGCCTTTGGGCTACTAACCCTAAGTTGCTGTCTGACCCATCAGAGTATGGATGTGTGTGAATGTCAGTAAGCACTTAAAATCATAGAAGAAGGTGAATGTGACGTGTTGTATAGAGCGCTCTGAGTACTCTGGGAGAGTAGAGAAGTGCTGTATAACAATCAGTCCATTTACCTCCTGAAAGATCAAAACTAACCTGCTGAATATGTAAAAAAAATTAATATTAAAACAGGACTGAACAAAAAATGATGGTAAACTTTCAAAAAATAGAACCATAAATATAATTTCTGCATTCATAACCAGAAGTTTCTTTAAAATGACTCAACAGCGTCTCCAGGTTCACCTCAGCTGTCTGCACCCGAGAGTACTGTGTAACTAGAGTCCAGGACAGGAGGTCAGGATACTGATAATACTCTGCTCTTTAAAGTATTTGTTACTTAAAAAGATTTTGTGTGTTTTCTGTCTTATAAATAATTCTTTTATTTTGTCCCGTGGCTAATCACCGCATAAAAACACAGTCAGCAAACAGACAAACAGGAATCTCTTCATTCCCACGTTTACAGCATTTAGGGTTCAACTGTCTTCATTTGTAACAGAAGAGAGAAGAGCAGGAACCAACAGCTGCAGCTCAAAGTGATTTCTGTGAGTTCAGTGAAAGAAAGCAAAGTTTGCTGTCCTCTATGATGCAGCCTTTAACGTTAACATGTTGGATACTCATTAATTCAAATACTTGCAACATAATTTGTTCTCTCTCCATTCAAACTGTAACTATGTTATCAGTTTGATTTAGATACATGTGAGTGTTTCAGGTACTGAAAATATAATATGTATAACCTGGGACTTTATATTACAGTCATACGCTTCTATTGTTATAACTAATAAGGGATGTTAATCCTGACACAGTGTCAATTAAAATGTGTCATAAATACAGTAAATATTGAATTCATTGTACACAAACAGTACACAGTACTATAAACCGGTTGCCATGAAGCAAACAGTAAGTCGTTCACAGTTACTGTAAAGTTCATGCGTTCGTGTATTTTAAAGGACGGTTACAGTAACACTTTATCGTCACGTTGACTCAACAATAAGTGAACAGGTGGTGACGTGTCAAGGCGTCGTGTGTTGTGATGTATATGGCGTGATGCTGATCTTCCTCCTGATGAACATCCATCTCTGGAGCGCCCTCCCCTCTGCTGCAGCTTCATAAAGGCAGCAGCCGCCGTGCAGAGTGACAGAACAGCCGGAGACTCATCCTGTCACGACCTTCACGTCGTACTCCTACCAGACGACTCTCTGATGCAACCAGTGCCAAAGCAAGCTTACTGAACCATCACTATCAATTTCATATTTGTATCGCTGAAATCCAGAGAAGCATGTACGCCAGGAAGTCAGAAGGAAAGGAGCTTCGCAGAGGAAGGTCTTTGGACAACAGGACCGTCTCCAGCAGCTTTGGGAGAGGCTCGACAACCATCATATTCACTCTGAAAAACGAAGTCGGTGGTCTTATAAAGGCACTGAAACTTTTCCAGGTGAGGTTTCATTTTCTTTATGTTGACACAGATATGGTGTTTTCTGAGGATGCGTGTGACTGGCCAGGAATGAATGTGATCAGAAGCTTTTACAGCATCTTCTTTGGGTGTGTGTGTGTTTGTGTGTGTTTGTGTGTGTTTGTGCGCAGGAAAAACACGTCAACCTCATCCACATCGAGTCCCGGAAGTCCAAACGAAGGAATTCAGACTTTGAGATCTTTGTGGACTGCGACACCGACCACGAGCAGTTCAAGGAGCTCACCGAGCTGCTCAGGAAGCACACGGACATCGTGGAGATCTCGCCGTTCGACGGCTCCGCTCTACCCGAGGACGGTACACCTTGTCGTACTTTGACTAAACAGTAGCTGTGATAGGAATGAGTTATTTCACAGGTCTGCGTGTGTCTTGACTGTGTTTCAGATGTGCCCGGTGTGCCGTGGTTCCCCAAGAAGATCTCAGACTTGGACCTGTGTGCAAACAGGGTTTTGATGTATGGCTCTGAACTTGATGCAGATCATCCGGTATGTGCATCATCGGACAGAGCTCTGAAATGTAGCGTGAACTCGGTAACCGACTGAGGTTTTGCTGTTCCTGCAGGGATTTAAGGACAACATATACAGAAAACGAAGACAATATTTTTCTGATTTGGCTGTAAACTACAAACAGTGAGTTCCTCTTATGGATGTTTTCATTAATGAAGTTAATAATAAAAACCTAGAAGGGCTTTCATCCTTTAACTCCGTCTCTCACAGCGGTGAGCCCATCCCTCGTGTGGACTTCACTGCAGAGGAGGTGCGTACCTGGGGCGTGGTGTTCAGGGAGCTCCACAAGCTGTACCCGAGCCACGCCTGCAGGGAGTACCTGAAGAACCTCCCACTGCTGACCAAGTACTGCAAATACAGCGAGGACAACATCCCCCAGCTGGAGGACGTCTCGCACTTCCTTAAAGGTAACCGTCAACAGTGTTGGTCAAGTTACTTGGAAAAGGGACCATTAACTAATTCCTGATTACGTCTCCAAAAGAGTAATCCTGTTACTCTACTGATTACTTATTTTCAAAAGTAATTCATTACTTAGTTACTTTTAAAAAACACGATACACAACCTGAATAGGTAATAAAGCGACGTTTCAGCCCAATTCTATTTTTTCTGCATAATCCATCATATAAAACTGAATCTAATGAAAAAGTCTCTTAAAACGTGTCTTATTAGTTTGAATCTTTAACTTTATGCATCAAGGAAAAATCAAATCGTATGCAGCTGTCTTTGACTTGAAGAAATGTGTTTAACATTTAGACCTATTTTCTGCACATTCCAGCATTTAAAATAAAATAATTGTTTTGTGTTTA